GTGTCACCCGAAAATGTTTAAATTTTTTAATTGCTGACGCTCAAAAAAATGCTACAATTGGGGACTCTAATATACCATAAACTGACTATAAATATACATGTAGTTTGAAGCTAACAAAAGAAAACCGTCAGTATTCTTTGTTGTATCCCGTGAGCCAGCTCTTACCACTAAGCGGGTCTCCATCAGTTTCAATATACAATATCGGGGTTACATCGAAATCGCCAACAAGGCCGGATCTATGCCACAGTACAAATTATGTAGAGAGTCTATTTACGAGGGGCGGCTGAAAAGTTTTGAGCCTAAGTATCTTCAAGTGTTATTATTGACTCGCGCTAAATTTAATTAATTTGCCAATAACCTCCTTAGTATACGTACAAAGTTTCATTTCATTAGCGTCATCAGTCTTTTAGTAATTCATCCGTAAACAACATCATGTCTCAGTCATCCGCCCAATGTACGAAATTGAAGTACACAGTTGTCATAAAATACCTCAAAAAGAGGAACAAAACGCTGACGGTAACATTTGAAGAGATGTCTACAGTTTATGGGGAGTCTGGGCTTTCATTTGCCACCATGAAAGATTGGATCCGATAATTCAAGCATGGCAGGGAGTCGCTAAAAGATGACCGCAAGTCAGGGCGGCCAGATTTCGCCATTAACAAATAAAATAATGAAAATTTAAAGAGTCTTGCTTTAAAGATCAGCGAATTAAGTTGTGACATATAGCTGAAGCCATAGGCATTAGCAAGGAACGTATTGGCGATATTTTTCATACTCATTTGCACATGAAATAGGGGTGCGTGCGATGGGTACCAAAAATGCTCACGCCGTTCGACAACCAGCGTCGAGTCACAACTTCGCAGGAGTTCTAGGACATCTTTGGCTATAATCCTAACAATTTTTTTCTCACATTGTCATTATTGATATATAATAGATCCGGCAGTACGATCTAGAGTCAAAATAAGAGTCAATGCAATGGATTCAAAAGGGGAAACGCCGCCGCGGTAATTCAAAGTGGAGCGATCGACACCTAAGCTCATAGCCACTATTTTTGGGATTGTGGAGGAATTTTATTCATTGACTACCTACTTGAAAAAAATTACAATAAACGAGGATTATTATGCTGTACTGCTGATAAAAGTGCGTCAAGTGGTTGTTGAAATATTAAGAGGCAAACTGGCGAAAGGAAATCTGTTATTGCAAGACAATTCGCCCGCGCACACCGGACATTTTGAATGGCTTGCCCCGGGAAAAACTGGATTTCAAGAAATTCATCACCCACCACACAGTTTAGTCCGAATCCTTAGCTATTTTGTCTAATTCTCAAAGTGGAAAAAAGGCCTCCAGGAACGAAGATTTTTGAGTGAGAAAGAAATGAAGGCGGCGTTAAAGGCTCATTTCGAAGGTAAAGATTGCGAATTTTTTTTCAGTGGGTTAAAAGCTCTTTTACACAAATGTAAGAAGTCCATTGTAGTAGAGGGAGATTGAATAGAAAAATACATTTTTTATACTTTTCTATCGGCATTTTTAATACCCTAGGCTCAAAACTTTTCAGCCGCCCCTCGTATATCTAAATCTTTATTAGTAGGCCCTTTTAGGGCGATTATGTTTTTTGTCTTTAGTTTTTGTTCTTTTTGTTTTTATTATGGATTGCATGCAGCATGATGGCAGCATAAGCCACTTTAATCAAGTAATTGCATTACTGTTTCTATTTTCTTTTTTAAGTCTTATACAGACAATAGTAGTATAGACTAATTTTTTTCCAGTAAAATAACACCTATTAACCTATACCACCCTACATCACAGCCCATACCAACCCATATGAACAGTACACGATTACGCAAAAACTTAAAAAACATACCCGCTTTTGCCTGACGATTCTACCTGGTTGTGGTTGTAAGTAGCAATTTATATTAATGCAACCCCAAAATTTAAAATAATTAAGATGCCCCAGTTTTGAGCTTCATGTACTCTCGTCTGTATCAAACGATAATTTTTCATTCTTTCTCTCTATACTGTGTAGAATACGTTCGTATTACGATATTTTGAGATGCTCGAATTGTACCTGTACGGATTGCGATACTAATGCTCAGGGATAAGTGCTCTTGGAGCTGAAAGCTGTTGTTATAAAGAGAAACACATTGATTCGAATTAGAATACGTATTTAACTTGTAATAGAGTAGAAAGTAGAGTTTTGAAACAGTTTAATGAGATAAAGAATTTAAATAAGTTAACAACGTATTTTATTCTATTTAGCCCAAAGGTTGAGTGATAGAGAATGCATTGTGGCATTAAGTTCTTTATGTACACTTGGCAATTTATATGGCATTAAAGCTTAAATAAACAAATAAGGTGCAACAATGAACCTTATTTAATAGAATGGCATTTTTTTTGTAACGAAAAATAAATTTTAATACTTTTCTTTCTTTTTCTTTTCAGCCAAATGACGTCCACTGCTGGACAAGGCCTCCCCCAAGGTTTTCCACAATGAACGGTCCTGCGCTGCCCGCATCCAGGCTCTTCCCGCGACCTTTACCAGATCGTCGGTCCACCTAGTAGGAGGCCTGCCCACGCTACGTCTTCCAGCCCGTGGTCGCCACTCGAGAACTTTCCTGCCCCAACGGCCATCGTCTCTACGAGCTATGTGCCCCGCCCACTGCCACTTGATTTTAGCAATTCTGCGAGCTATGTGGGTTACTTTGGTTCTCCTGCGGATCTCCTCATTTCTGATTCGATCACGCAGGGAAACTCCGAGCATAGCCCGCTCCATCGCCCTTTGGGTGACCTTGAGCCTTCTTATGAGGCCCAAATTTTAATACTGATCTCACATATTTTATGAGGAAGGCGCTGGATGCTACAAACATGGCCTATGTTCAGCATGGCTGTAATGATAATGATTATTATTTTGGACAAACCTCCCTGATTGAACTGTGTTTCCTAACTTCTTATGAATATTTCTGTTTACAAGAGTGTCTTCAGAAACCATTAAAATGGACGCTTAAAGGACCTAGCGCACTTAACAACCCGGAATGGCATCGTAACCATCAGCTCGAGGCAGTCAGTATTCTTTGTATGACACTCCGTACTGCAACGCACACCTAACCGTACCGTAACGTAAACGCCTCGCCTCGCGGTTGACAGCGCACGTAAGGCGATGACAGCTCGCGAAATTCGATGACAGCTCGCGAAAGGCGATGGGGTGTTGATCCCCTTCCGAGTTGATAAGTATGCTATGACCTAAATCCTGTTCCCCCATTTAACGAGGCGGTGTATCGGTCCTTGAATTATTCGGAATTTTATCAATACCCTCGAATGTTAATGTGTCCCGGATGAATGTTTTGAATTGATATTCACAAATACTTACGCTTACGGATCATATTCAATACGTTTCGGGGAGATAATTATGTTTTGGTAGGTCTTTTTATTTGATTTGAACCTCTTTTAGGAATTGAGGGCATGATATGAAACGACGCCTAAGTACGGATCTATGCTGAAAAGATTCTGTCTTTTCAGTCGTTCGTAAGTTGTTGAGGATTTTGCTGACGTCATACTTAATACCAGGCATGGAACATTTCATGAATAGCAGGTGAAAAATCATATGAAATGAATTTCATTAATCACACCTGCTATTTTACTTCACATAGACTGCTATAATTTCACAGTCAACGAAATCACGAATCAGAATAAGAATAAGAATAAGAAAAACTTTATTTGACACAAAAGAAAACAGAAAAACAGAACAAAGGGACTTAAAACTATACACGCATAATATTTTGTGCCAAAAAGGCGCCCGCTCAGCATTAATCAAGCCACGCGTGCATGCACGCGTGCCCCGACGCTGGTTTTCAGCGGGTGCCTCTCCAACCAACATTTTAAATACAAAAAACAAAACATTAAACAAGACATTGACATTGACAAGAGGGCGCCACCATCTCACCGAATTTCATTCATTCATTCGAGCGAAGTTCGTGAGCGCAGCTCTGCGAAGCGACCGAGCGAGTAAGAAGGAATGATTTGATCATGTGCGTGTTAGAAAAGGACAAGACATGTGATGACGGACGTAACTAGTCATTTTAAATATGAACTTTAAACTCAAAGGTGTAAGGTTTAGATTTCCTTGTCATGATTCATGTGATTTCATTAGATAGCAGGCAGATGAAATGAATGATTTTCATTAGTCGCGCGGTTATTAATGTGCTGTGAAACTGTTTGTTTTTTGTTGTGCGACATAAATGAAACAGATATTGTTACATTTCATATTTTAGCTAATTAGCAATCCTTCATCATAATTCATACTTCATTAAAAGTAGCATATTACATGAAAGAGCTACATTAAAACACTGCGAATAAAAATCATTGCCTATGAAATTTCGCATGTGAAATCATATGAAAAAAAATCATCATTTCATACAATGAAAATGAATGAAAAATAGCAATCATTTCCATGCCTACTTAATACTTCATCATTCTTCCTCCTATTACTGTAATAACTTGTCTAGCCTGTTTTGAGACAAATGAATACTTTCTATATCTATCTATCCTTAGCTTTATGAAAAGATACGCCTCTAGGTTTTTTGCCCTGGAATTTTCTGGTAAAGACTAATCTTATGGTAAGTAGTAGGTAGGTAGTAGGGGTGCGGCAACATACAGGAATTATAATATAATACTTTAAGTGCGGCAAGCACACCACAGTGGCCAAGACGTTACTGAGAGTGGCCTTTTTGTCATTTTTTTTTCCTTCTTTCTTTCTCTTTTTGATGTTTGTGATGTAAAATGTAAACTATTATGTAATAGTAAAAATAAATACGTTCATAATATTTTACGTCACAAATAAAGATTTTTCTTTCTTTTTTTCTTTCACAGTGGCGCCACTGCAGCGCTTCGTCACACCTCTAATTTGAAGGTGCTTTAAATCTTGACGTTTAGATACTAATCGAAGGCATTAAGCCAGCACTCTAGTTTTATTTGCTGTATGTCAATCTAATCTGATCTAGACCTACCTGTACAGCGGCTTGCCCCCAGCATGTCGGAACCACAGCACCATGTAGACCCGATCCTCATTGGAGTCTGGCTCGATGTCGCAGGGCAGCGAGGCGCTCCGCCCCACCACCGCCTCGACGTCCATCGTTGACACCGGCACGAAGTCCACTGGAACAAACGAATAGCTTTAAATTTCTATAAAATTGATAAGAAAAAAAAATTAAATGAAATATTTTATTCACCGACATAAAACATTAAAAGCATGAAAAATATAACTATGGAGTGATGTGCGCGTGTCACCAACACGGTATCCACTCAGCATCATGCCGAAGTGTCGTAACGGACACCAAGACGCTGGTCTTCCGAGGATACTCGAAGAGCAAGAGGCACTGCAAGATATTCAATTTTTTATTTCTTGAAAATCATGTTATTTGGGGAAAGGATTTTAGGGAAGCTTTTGCGTGAGCATATTAGAGTCCAGCAGTAGATTGCACTAACGACCGGGAATTTGACTAATCTAATATCCATAATCCATATTGACTGTGGCTTCGCAATACATATTTGATAACATTATGTATGTCCGTAAACATATACATTTATTTACTAAGAAAAGTGACGTCCACTCATTTAACACGAGACATAAGAATAAACTTGCTGTTCCATCATTTAGGTTGCATAAGATAGGTAATTCATTCTTGGGGAAATGTATTACCATATTTAACAAAATACCACACAACCTTGTCGAATTGCCAATAAACAAATTTAAGATACATATAAAAAATACCCTTATGTCCAAAGGGTACTACAAGGTTCGAGACTATATTGATGACAAGGATGCGTGGTCAGTTCAGTCTGCACATATTTGATGTACTTAAATTTGACTATTCTTACCGTTAGATAATTCCTGGCAATAAGTGGTGACTGAGTTTGTTCCGGCGTTTCTTCTCAGCACTTGCCATATGTTTGTCTCGAAGCGCTGGTAGGGCCCAAAAGATAAGGAGACATTTTTATAAAATTTAACTTATTTCTTGCTTTTTAGTTGACTAATTATTACCTTGATGTTACCACTGAAGGTAGGCAGTACATTGAGACCATATTCTTAATGTATATATGTATATTATAAAAAAGTTCATCCCAAATTCGCATGAAACCACCCTTTTGATAATACCTATTCAACAAAAAAATAATCGTTCAAATTGGTTCATAATCGGCGGAGATATTGCGTATAAAAAAGTTCATCCCCAATTTTCCACTCTTGGGGGTTGTTTTTTTTATTATTAAATTTAAATGGGACCACCCTTGAGATATTACCTATACGCTGAAAAAAGATTTGTTCAAATCGGTTCATAATTGGCGGAGTTATCGCGTAACAAACATAGAAAAAAAAAAAAACATACGGGTCGAATTGAGAACCTCCTCCTTTTTTTGAAGTCGGTTGAAAATCGACAATGTTAATGTCGAGGAGAGTGTTGTGACATTGTCGAATTTTTGGAACAACTCTCTTCGGTCTCCCCTAATATTGATGTCCCTGGAGCATAATTGAGAAGTATTATACCATTATAACTTGCCTAGATAAATGAAAAAACAATAATTCAAATGCTAAACAACTTTGACAGAGCATCTTTCATTTTGACAAAAGGGATTGAGATTGCAAGCAAACTTCGCCCGCATTAATTCCCAACAAAATTAACTTAAAGATTAGATTAGCCGAGTCAATTAAATAATCAGAAGAGTAGTCAACCCTTTCTAATTAATTTACGAACAAATTACGAGTTTTAATATTTCACTGAACAAACATCGTACCTTCGTCATTTTGGGTACTTTGGGTTGCACGATCTGAATAATAATATGCTTGTACATATGTACAGCATACCGAGTTACCCAAAAAGAGAGATTTTGCAATCAATTTTAAACGTTTTATCTTTAGCAAAAGTTTCAGAATCAAGTCAGCGATTTTTTAGTTGTCAATTCAACTGTAAATTACTCCTAATATTTATTTCATTTTCTATAATTAAGTACACCACAAACTATGTAGAAAACTTTTTAAATTTGAATACATGTTAAGTGTAAACTTAATAAATCGGAAGGATTGATGATTGTTTTCAAGGACATCAATATTGGTCACAACAATTATTGTTTTAACCGAACAAGTTATGTTAAAAAATGCAAAGTAAATTCATATTTTATTTTTCACAACAAAAGTCATTTTATGTCGCACTGAAGCTGAATGAAACTGTGAAAAGAATAAATTATCTTTGTACAAATAGTTTTCAGCCCGTGCTCGTAACTGAATTTCGTGAAAAAAAAACTTAATAGTTTTTTTTTATTTCAAGAGTTTTTCAATGACGTAGAGACAATGATGATAATTATATTATTAGAGTTAGTCCTATTCTACTCTACTACTAGCATCTTACATATATTAAATTTATTTCATTAAATGTATTTGAAGCACTTTAGGACAGATGACCTTATAAAGGTAGAGCTACCAACCGGCAAATCTAAATATAAATAAGGCCTGTTCATCAGTGGACAAACCATTTCACATTTGTATTGGAGGCAGTTTTAAATATTTTTAAAATAACTTGAAAAATATCGAACTGCCTAACGCCAACTCTTAACGCCAGTTTTTTTTTTAATAACGATGCTGGTTTAGTCAATATTTTTAAAAGTTCTAAAAGTAAACAGGAATCCATCGTCTAACAGCCCACAAACAAAATAACAAAAATCCCGGACGCACGTCGTCGCATCACGGGCGTGGTGTAAAAAGCCGAAAGTAAAAACTATCTGACAAACCATCAGTCTTGCTCGCAATCCGCTCCCATCCGTCACCGCGCAATGAGATGTCGCGATGAGTTTGCGTTGTCGACTTTATTTCCCGGTTCCCACAAAGATTTTAGTGTAAATGTAAGCACATTTGAGTATTTATTTTGTTACGTTACGACTCCAAGATGCCGATGTTACGTTATAAAACAAAAGTTTTTTTTTCGGAGTTAACCCTTGAAATAATTAATCACGGTTAACTGAAGGATGACACCAACCAACGTAATATTTTACTTAAACCGCTCTTACTTATACAGGACACTTATCTATAAGAAAAGGAATCTAATGCCCGTTTTCACCTTCAATCCCTAATTTTTAAGTTGTTGTACGCCGATGACTTAAAGCTTTTCAACTCGATCACCAGTACCAGAGACTGTGAAGCAATGCAGAGAGATCTTGAAGCGGTTGCGGTTTGGTGTGAGTCGAATCGAATGTTCCTCAATATAAAAAAATGTTTTGCCATGTCTTTCACTCTAAAGAAGCGAAAAATACACTATGATTACAGGATAGACCATCAAATACTGGATCGGAGCAACGTGACAAGGGATTTGGGTATATATTTTGATGACACACTCTCCTTTCGCTCTCATTACGACCATATAACCAAGAAAGCACTACAGTTACTAGGTTTCATCTCTAGAAACACGAAGGGTTTTAGAAACCCAAGAAGTTTCCTTACACTTTACTTCAGCCTAGTTAGAAGCACACTAGAGTATGGTTCAGTTGTATGGTCTCCTCACTATGCTATTCACCGCAACAGACTTGAAAATGTCCAAAAGAAAGCTCTCAAAATCTTAAGCTACCGACAAGGAGTCAGCAGACAATGCCGTTCATATGAGGATCGCTTACGTAAATATAACGTGGTGCCACTTCATATCCGCAGAAATGAACAAGAGCTCATTTGTCTCCACAAAATACTGCACTCCCACATATACTCTCCCAAATTGTTAGGTAAACTTAGCTTTAGCACGAATCACAATCCCCGCAGGCCTAAAACCTTCTCAATTTCTCTTCAACGTAAAAACGTCTCATACTACCAGCCTCTTCTTAGAATGTGCCGATTGTACAATGAACTTGCATTCTTGGATGATAGTCACCTGGATATCTTCGACCAAAGGAAGCATACATTTAAGAAACATGTCAAGGATGCCCTCAGCCAAGCTACCCATGACTCGTCATAAATAAATAATGTTGAGGAACTCTTTGTTTTGTTTTGTTTACTCTGCACTAACACTACTGCATTAACACTTTCCGATTTATTTACCTATATATATATATTTTTGTACCTAATGCATGTATAACAAATCTGTGAAAACATATTTAGGGTTACATTTTAGTCTATATCTACATTTAAGTATTATTTAAACCATGTAAAGAATGTAATCTGTTTTGTTTTCCAAATAAATAAAATTAAATTAAAATTAAGTGACTCCTATGGTAACACATAAAAGGTTTTTTTTCAAAGGGGTCACTTCAAAATTAGGGATTGTAGAAAACGGACATAAGAAATCAAGAATGGAAACAACATTATTAAAAATTTAGTTTCTCATGTTTTTGTAAATAATAATATGTTAGATTAAATAACAGTAATTGAAGAAAAAAACAACTTAATTGCATTCTACTTTACCTGCTTATCATGTCATATTATTTTCATTGAGGAAAAAAATATCATTGTTATGTGTAGAAGAACAAAAAGCTAACGTATTTTTTGTTTCTCAGAAATCAACTCTTGAACGAAGAGTTCCACGAAAACAGGCTTCTAACAAAAATATTTCTTACTGAAAATTATACTAACCAGGTTTCGAGAAAAATGTTTTCTTTTGATGTTCATTTCAATATTTGGAACTCGGAGCGAGTGTGCGACAAAGTTTTAAATGTCTTAAGGCTTGTTGAAATGTTATTGTAAAACGAACTGATGGCCGATGAAGCAAGAGAACGGACGTCCAACCCACTAGCTGGACCGACGACCTCGACCTTAGCAAGAAGACACTGAATGCAGGCCGCTACCAATCGGTCTTTATGGAAATCATTGGGGAAGGCCTATGTTCAGTAGTCGATGTAACGTCCTATGGCTGAAATGATGATGATGATGATGATGATACTCCAAACCTTTGTTTTTTCATGCACCAGTTTTCCTGAACTTCATACTTTACGTATTGATGCCTAAACAGCTGTTTATGTTTAGATAAATAAAGCGATTCTGCTCAGAAAAGCCCGAAATCCCAACTTGTGAAAACTGCACAGTAAGGAAGATCCTTGTAAATACTTATTTGAGTACATAACATTCTGCAATAGGTACGGATAGAGTCAGCTGACTCGAGATACCCTATAATATTGTGGGGTAAAAATCCTCTGTGGTTGGTATTTAAATGCTGACTTCTAAGCTTTTAAGTTCTCAATGAACGTTTACCTTTGCGTAGTTTTAACTAGAGACTATCATGTCATAGTATATGAGTTTATGGTATGAATCATATCACCATATCACTTACATGAATAACTTGCTAATTTAACAACTTGTTACTAAAAAACGTGAAAACTGTAAAGCCCTGGTTTTCCTAAATAAAATAAATAAATCCATACTAATAATATAAATGGGAAAGTAACTCTGTCTGTCTGTCTGTCTGTCTCTCTTTCACGTCAAAACTACTGAAATTTGGCATAGAGATAGTTTGAGTCCCGGGAAAGGACATAGAATAGTTTTTTTTTTCAGGGACCCGCGCGATAGTGTTTTTTCTGTGACAGACAAAATTCCACGCAGGCGAAGCCGCGGGCGGAAAGCTATTATAAAATAAATTATATTTCTCACTGGCGATTTAACTTCGCAGTAATAAAATAATTACCATTCTAATTTTAAAGTGCGTGGATCATTTTGCAGTCACAAGATTAAACCTGTAAGGAATTCTAAGAAATATAAATTGGTATGAAATAAACACTTGCTTCTTTAACTTACTCTAATTTTGTCTCCAAACTTAATCCAAAATTCCAAATAGGTACAGCGAATATAGAAATCTTGGAGCATAATATAACATCGTCAACGTGAGTCCCCTTACTCTAAAATTTTCCACTTTAACCTAAAAAGGCGAGAGCGTTCGCGTCAACCAAAATAAATAAAGCTGCATTCTTATGATAAGTTTGAATTCGGCGAGTTTGCTAAAAAGCTAGGTGGATCAAGTCTTGTGATGTCCACTGTCCACTGTAGATGATTATGTAGTGAGAGTCACACTCAGGAACTTAAAATACTTATATTTATGATCGAGTAACGAATTAACTGCGTACTATGTGCCCTGCTGCCCATTGCCACTTCAGCTTGCTAATCCATCGGGCTATGTCAGCGACTTAAGTTCGTTTACGGATTTCCTCATTTCTGATTCGATCTCGCAAAGAAACACCAAGCATAGCCCTCTCCATAGCACGCTGTGCAACTTTGAGCTTCTGTATAAGGCCTATAGTGAGAGGCCACGTTTCGGCCGATGGGGCAGCAAGCTTCTGGAATGGAGGCCGCGTACCGGAAAACGCAGCGTGGGACGTCCACCTACAAGGTGGACCGACGACATCGTAAAGTTAGCAGGGAAGCGCTGGACGCAGGCCGCTACCAATCGATCAACGTGGAAAGCATTGGGGGAGGCCTATGTTCAGCAGTGGACGTCCTATGGCTGAAATGATGATGATGATGATGATAATCGAGTAAATTAGGTATAATATTCGTCTTATATTCTATTTACTTGACTCTACATTGCGCTGAGTCTGGTAGTATTTCTATAAACGGAAGGAATTTGTTCCTTCAAGCCCAGATTTCACCTTTTACCTTTCTTGGCTGGCTTGGCCATTGCACTTTTCATATTATTATAATTCCAGGGAAGTTTGTTTCCTTGAAAATACGAATATAATTTTCGTGTCGGATGGAGAGACGAAACTGAGAATGTAGTCTGACCCAATTTAGCCTTTATTATATTTGTAAATAGTACAGAATATCTATTTACTAGCTTTCCGTCCGCAGCTTCGCCCGCGTGGAATTTTGTTTGTCATAAAAAAACTTTATCGCGCGCGTCCCTGTTTCAAAAACCGGGATAATAACTTGTTTTGATTGATTTGATTCCTTGTCCTTTCCTGGGACTCAAACTATCTCTATGTCAAATTTCATCAAAATCGGTTGTGGTTTAGGCGTGAAAGCAAGACAGACAGACATTAAATGCTGCAGTTCTCATGATAGACGAAAAATTATTATTTATTGCCTCAGGTGATATTTGAACGCTTAGTAGTTAGATGTTTCTTTATCGATTCTTGAATAATGTTTATCCGTAGGTTAATACTTTTATTGAAAGTAAGTAACATATTTATTTATTATGCAACACAAACTAGTAAAGGTTGAGTCGTACCGCAACATAAGCAACAAAGCAACCAAAAATCCATAAATTCGTACACTACGAACACTCATTGCTTCAAAAGTTCAACACAAAACCAATAACAGAATGTAAATGCTGAAACCCCGACTAACACCCCCACTTATCAAGCTCCAATTCCTGAAAACCAGGTCTTAAATCCTGAAGGAACAAATCAACGATCCGGAGCCGGCAATGAAATGTTTGCACCGAAATAAAAAAACGTCCCAACACAGGAATTCAATTTTAAGATTCAATACAGCTATAAAATCCGGGACAAACCATGAATACAATCGGTTGAAACAGGAGGCCTCCGCGGGTATTATGGGGTGACCATTGTTTTGTGATTTTGAAGGATACTTATAAAGATTTTGATGCTGCTCCAAGCAGCCAATCTGGATATTATTGGGAGAAGCCTATGTTCAGCAGAGTCCTTTGGATGAAATAAAAAAGATGATAACATTTGAGAAAGAGGGATCAAACGAGTTTGATCTGACTAGCCATCACAACCACCCATTGACATATTGACATTTGCTTAGCTTTTTGAAGAATTGATACAGATTTTGAGGTTAAGAGCCCTCTACTAATCCAATGAATCAGTTGAATGAATGAGTGCAACCTGCACTCAGGAGGATTTGATGAGTGTTACTGACAACGCCACTCTTGTGGCGGAGTTTTGGGCTGACACTGTGTAGGTTTGTTGTCGACACAAAAAGAAGAAGAAGAATCAGTTAAAGCTGTGGTTAAAGTCTCATGAGAGAAAACCATAATATTAATATTATTTTTAATAATTATTGTACCATTTTTTTCACATGTCCCACAAAACACAAAACAACGCCACCCTATCCCCGCCCGACGCGACAGGTTGAATTGAACGAAATCACAAACCAAATTATGGAGAAACACAATGGAATACCGTTCTTATTCCAAAGACAGAAGTGCTTGTGCGAACGCAGATACTTGAAGATATTCTGCCAATAAATCGAGGTAAGAAGAATTTGTAAGTACATAAATATACGGGCGCGCGGAACGGCGAATAATTTGCTTGTTTTGCATGCGAGCATTAATTCTGCTTGCTTGTATAGGCGGCACTTCAAGCTAAGTACTGTAGCGTCTTATGTGGTTTAAGTAAGATCTATTTTGCAACAAACCTATAATTGTGCACGCTGGCTGTCAAGAACTGCTTATAACTGTGAACGCTGTAGGACATGTAGAATGTGGATTTTTATTGTGTTCAGATCGGTAAGTTTATTATTTGTTAAGACGAGTTAAGAGGAAATCTGAAATACTAAATTTATTATTCAAAAATAAAGGAATAAAATAATAAGCTTTACGAGAAAAAAGGATGTTTATACAGAAATTAGCAGCACTATTATGACGTGGCCTATTAATGATTCATTAATGCTATGAGTGTGCAATATTAACTGAATACAATAATGTGAATGCTAATAACGGTCTACATTGAATAATTATGTTTAATTTATAATTGAATGTTGACATTCATCAATGCTGTAACATTAACATATAACATATAACATATTTTGTTAATAAAATCTTTAGTATTTATATCTAATAATTGTGTTTAATAAATTAAATTATAGCTTGAATTGAATCCCTCGCATTTTACATAGCGAAGAGATTGTGGTTTTTCGTTGAATCAGTTATATAAATTGCTAACTTTTACTGAAATAATTTAATCCAAAAGTTCGAATACGATTGTAATTTCAGATTCTGCACGAAAATACCTCGTAAATCGCTTGAAAGAACCACTTACGTCTCGCGAGCATAATTTAAAGCTTTAAATAAATGCAATAAATCCGCTTGCCGTTCGTCACGTCCGTGTGTCGCGTTATCTAAATTGCGCGATGTGTTCAAGACGTCTCATTGCTGGGACCTGTGCCACAATACGCAGCGATTTGGAGGCTCTGAAATGTTGGTGTAATCACCTGGTTTGATGCGGGTGTGATAAATTTTTGATGGGTAATGGATGCCTGAGATTTTGTTAACGTTACAAGCACATGGTATCGCTTTAATTTTTGAGTAGAGTATTTTCCTCGGTGGAATGGACTACTTTTGTTACAAAAAAAAAGGTTTGCACATAAACACAGTGCTATTAGTTCAGTTAATTAAGATCTATGATTAGCTGGCACAGATTAAGATGTTGCATTACATTTCAGTAGAGCCTTAAAGGATTGAGGCATGAATGTGAAAGTATTCCTACCGCTGCGACTCCAGTATAAGGAGGCCTTCTTGGGGGAGGCCTTTGTCTAGCAGTGGTCTTACGTTTACAAGAAATGATGCAATTTAAAATCCGCTTGCTATCTGCGCGTGTGTCGCGTGCATCCCCAATCGTGTAATTCTTGGGGAAGGCATATGCCCAGCAGTGTATGATTTTTAGTTGAAAAAGAAGAAATAATGAATATTTACAACTGCAATGTGCGTATGGCATGTGAATTCCCGAGTGCTAAACTCTTGGGAGAGGTCTTCTTCTAAAAATTTTAGTAATAAAAAAGGATGAATTAAATCCGCTCGCCATCCTTACCGCGTGTGTGTCACGTGCATCACAGAGCGTTATCTAAATTGCGCGCGATGTGTTCAAGACGGCTCGTGGCTGTGACTTGTGCCGCTTGTGGCACAATACCGACTTGGAAGCGTCAAAGTATTCCGTAATCACCTGGTTTGCATATTCCTTTCGAATGTATTTTTCAAGTATCATGACCGTTTGATCCTTTTATATTGATGGTTTGTTTTAGATGAAACAGTGTAAAAATGACGTTCTGTTTTAGTGGAACCTTTTTTTATTAATTCCTGGAAATTCTCAGTAAAAATAATTTGGATTTTTTTTTTAGAAACTAATATAGCGGAAATGTTGTGAGAGTAAACACAAAGCTGTCAGCAACATACAGGTGACAATGTTTGAAGGTGCTCGTGACAAAATATTAGGAATTTATCATGGAAATCAACGCTATTTACGCCGAACCCCATTGAAAGTTCATATACATGTTTAATAGTTACTCGTACATAAATATCTATTGAATTACTAGAATTATGAACTCATAATATTGATGTAACATTTCAGAAATTGTATGGCTAAAATCAATTAATTACTTCAGGATAAATGCTGTTGTCTTTCCTGAAAACTATAATCCAGGGCTCTTCAAGGCGAGTGTGAATACTCATTTACTGGGCAAGTATACATACTTGGCTGGTACACCATCCTAGACTGCATCTCACATAACATCAGGGGGCGTAGTGTGAGTTTACGTCAAACGCATTCGATGTCGACTGCGTAGGAATGTACAGCGCCCCTAGCGGAAACATTCAAGAACTAAAATCTTTATGTATTTTTTAAAGCGCTCGCTAGTGACATTGATGTAAACTCACACTTAGCCCTCAGATGCGATTGCGGTCAGTACCTGCCACGTTCTGCACAAAAAAAATCCGCTAGATTATCAGGATTTCATTTCCTTTTCCAAATACATAATATGTATCTCTAGGTAATATTTTTAGGGAATCCAGGTCTTGTCCGTGTCGCCAGCAGAACGTGACTAACGCACGTCAAAGCAGTGGCACTGCGCAAGACAGCTGCATAAAGGTGCCTGCATGAAAATGAAATTAAATGTCATATTTTTATTCCTTACTAGCGGCCGCCCGCGACTTCGTACGCTTGGACCCCGTTTTACCCCCTTAGGAGTTGAACTTTGTTAACATAGTAGCTAGATAAAAATCAAGTGGCAGTGGGCAGGGCAAATAGCTTGCGGAGCTGATGGCCGCTGGGGCAGAAAATTTCTCGATTGACGCCACGAGCCGGAAGACGTAGTGTGGGAAGGCCTCCCATTAGGTGGACCGACGATCTGGTGAGGGTCGCGGGAGGTGCCTGCATACGGGCAGTGCAGGACCGATCTTTGTAGAAATCCTGGGGGGAGCTTTGTCCAGCAGTGGACGTCATTTGTCTGAAACGAACGAACGAAGTACTTAGCTAGATTCTGTTGTTGCTTGGACACGTTAGACCATTCCCCAGTGAACTGAGAACGGATAACAAAATCATACACAATTTCGTCAAATCCATACATATTCCGACAAAGCCTCCAAGCTTGCGTGACATTACACCGAACCATACGTTTTCATTAAAAACGCACATTAGTGCGTAATTTACTGGAAGTGTTATCGAATGTTCTGAAGTCGTTTAGGCAGGGCCGAGTCGTTATTAGTGATGCGACGCGATTTTTCTGTCTATAAAATATCGATGTTTTATCGATAGAGCTAAACATCGACCAAGTTTTACTTCCAAGGCTGGGTTGCACCATCACTTTAACTTTAGCATACGTCAAAAATCTGTCAAATTCCATACAAAAAACACCAGTTACCGTTAAAGTTACTGTTAAAGTTAGGAGGTGCAACTCAGCCTAAGAATCTTTTATTTTTAAAATTGCTAAATCATGATAGAA